TGTGGACCACTTTGGTTTTCTTTTTTGCGTGTGGCAGTTTTAAGTTATTAGTTTTTAAAATCAGTACTTTTTAATGGAAACAACTTGACCAAAAATTTGTCACAGAATTTTGAGACCCATTAAAAAAGTTTAATGAGAAAACAAACAAACAAACAAACAAACCAAAAAAAAACATACGTCTGCACAAGAACTTTACAGCATGCACATTCATGGTAGCATTATTCATAACCAAAAATGGAAACCCAAATGCCCATCAACTGATGACTGAATTTGTAAAATGTGGTATATCCATACAATCAAAAACTATTCAGTATTAAAAACGAATGAAGTACTGACACATGCCACAATGTAGATAAACATGAAAACATTGTGCTAAGTGAAAGAAGCCAGTTACTAAAGACCAAATACTATATGATTCTACTTACATGAACGTCCGGGGAAGGCAAACCTAGAGTCTAGAGAGTCTATGTTCTAGGTGATTTGAAAATTAGGACCTGAATTCTATTCCTGTTGCACTCTTCAATTATTACATTCCTGACAAAAGCAGTAACGGTCAATAATTTTTTTTTTTTGCTAAATGTCCCAGGATAGCTAGCAAAGGAACTTAAATTTAAGAACTTTGAACCTTGTTCTAATTTTTAAAAAGTAATATCTAACATCTCATATTTTATACACAACTGAAGAACAGCATCTCTTCACAGGTAATATCCCCCAATATTGTCCAGATTACCATAAAATTCAAAAAGAGGACAGCAGCTACAAAATCCCTAACTACAAATCACGTAACCTAGAAGAGCAATAAGAAATCCTTCTGGACCAGGCCCAGTGGCTAATGCCTGTAATTCCAACACTTTGGGAGGCTGAGGTGGGTGGATCACCAGAGGTCAGGAGTTCAAGACCAGCCTGACCAACATGTTGAAACCCCATCTGTACTAAAAATACAAAAATTAGCTGGGTGTGGTGGCACATGCCTGTAAGCCCAGCTACTCAGGTGGCTGAGGCAGGAGAATTGCTTGAACCCGGGAGGCAAAGGTTGCAGTGAGCCAAGATTGTGCCACTGCACTCTAGCCTGGGCAACAGAGCAAGACTCCGTCTCCAAAAAAAAAAAGAAAGAAAGAAAGAAATCCTTCTGGTTGAATAAAAAATGTTGCTCTGGGGCCTGAAACTGATACTTCAGTACCATTTATAAATAGGAAAGGTATACAAAAAGATTGAAATTAAACTAAAGTGCACAAAATGACTAAAAATAATATTAAAATCATATAAGAATGTTATTATCTATACAAAGTTGTTGTTCTATGGTTAAATATAAAACATCATGGGATATTAGATGTTACTTTTTAAAAATAAGGACAAGATTCGAAGTTGTTAAATTCAACTTCCTTTGCTAGCTACTCTAGGATGTCCAGCAAAAATACTATCGACAATTATTGCTTTTATCAGGAATATAATAATTCAAGAGTGAACAGAATTCTGATCCTAATTTTCAAATCATTTAGACTATGCCCCCATTTTGAAAATTCAGATATATATTTAAGTTGACAAAAACACTAGGCCAAGGTTTACTTATAGGACTTGATATAAATTTGACTCTATTTTCATTATCATCTGTTTTATCATTTTGTAAGAAAGCTGAGTCTAAGACTACACAATAGGTTAAACATTTCCCAATAGTGTATGAGCATTTATAGACTCATTTCTAGGTAACACCTAAAACTCACCATACTATGTAAATCCTGCACATTTGTCTTTTAAACTGTGGCTCCAACTTGCAATGGATAGCAGCATTTTTCTTTATTCTGACAGCTTGATTAAAACACAGAGCTAAGGGGCTCATGAAGAAAAGTGCTTTTAATATCTAAAACTCTACAGCAATTACTTTTCCAACAGAGTAACTGTACTTACATCAATATCTTCTTGAGTGAAAGTCTCTGGATCTTCTCCCATCATGTTGGCTAAATGTCTCTTTCCTATGTTGAACTCTTCAATCTGCTTTTTAATAAAATCCTCTGTGTAAGTTTCACGTTTTGAGGTGGGAACATTTTTCTTTGTTGTTCTAACTGCAGTATGTCTTAGCCTTAATATCTAACAGAAAATACAGATGGAAAGAAAAGAAAATAAATTAGACTGTGATCTTCTAGGCCACTGTCCTTAAATAAAAAAATATATGCAAATAATTGTCTTTTTTTATTATGGTATTCAAGTGACAAGAGTCCAAAAAAAAAGTTTAAAAGGTCTGCTAAAAAAGTTGTTAGAATCTGTCCCCTGCTCAAAAGCTTGCTTACAATGTAGTTTAAGCTACTAGCATTTCAATACATTAAAACCAAAAATACCTGTAAGAGGTATGCTACCTCGTGATCTCTTTTAAACATCCACTTTTGATAATGATTGGTCAATGTCATTGAGTTTTGATATTTAGCACATGGGATAAAGAGTAAAAGGCCACTCCCTTAAAAAAGCAAATACCGATGCACCAGAAACCAGCAAGCAGAAAACATGAGAGCAAATGGTATGGCCTGGGGAAGAGCACCTTACACTGTGGGTCTTCACCTTACTTGTGGGTAAAAATCTGGCCTATCTTTAACCATCTCTTGGCTTAGCTTAAGACTTTATTCCATGGTCCTTATATTAAAGTGATAAAAAGAAAAAATTGCTTGACTAAACATTGGGAAGATTTATTATTATTAATTTGGTTCAACATGCTAACTGCAGAAATAAGGGCTCGCATATCTTTTAAAGGCATCAGTAATTATATCACACTTGCTGCTGCTGGTCCTTTTATGCTGTGGTACTAGGAATTTCCCTCAAAGGCATTAAGATTTCGCCTTCAATCAAAGATGCTAAAGAACGAGAAAAATGTTTTCAAATGCCATTCAGCTGCATCCGGTAGCTGGAAATAACTAGAACAGATCTTTCTGGTCCTGGCTTTTCTTAAGATCTTAAACCTGTAGTTCTCAACCTTCATCCTGGCCCCAACAATTCTAAACACTCTTAAAGCAATATTCAGGCTTTAAAACCACAATCTTAGCAATCCACTCACTTCCTTTTTCATAAACATAAATCTCACTCAGACAGACATCATTCACCGGCACCATCCCTCCTATCTCCATCCCCTTCCCTTCCAAAAATCCTAAATTCAGATGCCTCTACAGTAATTTGTCACTAAAGTTACACTAGAAAATACAAGAAAAAATACAGGAGAAATGTAACAATACCCAATTAATGAAAAAAAATGTATGTTTTTAAACTCTTCCGAATTAAGATAGTAAAAATATAGTTTCTTCTTACTCTTTAATGAGTAAGAAAAGGGCAATTCAAAATTATCTGAAACTTGAGTTTATTTTTACTTAGGAGATCACATCCTTCTAAAACATACTACTAGCCAATCATTATCATTTCTTACAATGCTTTGTGAAGATACAGTGTTGCCGTCAATGAGTAAAAGCATGACCACAACTGGCTAATGCATGGTCCCTTCTTTTACAGGCACAGCCTGTCTGTACACCCCTGCTCCCCTTGCCACAGGCCAGCACCACCAGCACCAACTCCCCACCATAGTGGTTCCCATCTTACGTTTTTACTGTAATTTTAAGTTACAGTAAAATGTGTTCTTTATGAGTCTACGTCTTCTTTAGGCAATGGAGGATTTTAAAATGTGTTCTTTATGAGTCTACGTCTTCTTTAGGCAATGGAGAATGTTGCTTCACATATTCAAAGTGAAGAGAAATTATCTTTCTACCTCAAGAATCATAGTAAAGGTGTGATTAGGGGGCCGAAAAGTAGCAATCACATAGTAGAGATAATTCTCCCAAATGTTCCATTGCCAAAAGGATGATTATATTGCTAGTTTTTATACATAACACGACAAAATGTTTTTGTTCACAGCTAAGACAATCTTAATACAGGTGAACCCACAAAGACTTTCTTTCAGGTCACGACAACCACACTCCCTGCCAATCACCAACCACAGCCCTCAGGAGGAGAAGTGTGCCTCCTGGAGCATATGGCTCCTCTCACTGAAGGGATTCCAGAGGAGGAGCAAGATCAGGGAGGAAAGTGATGCGTTCAGATTTGAGAATGTGTGTGAGATATTGATGGACATCCCAGGAAGACAGATGTCCAGGAGGCAGGTGGCCTTGTGGGTGTTAGCATGGACAGACCTGAGCTTCAGATACAGGTCTGTTAATAATCCATACCTGAGACATGAGGTTGACACTCAAAGAGAAGCAGAAAAAATGGCAAGCATTAGTGCTAGGACAAAAAACAGTCTTCTACTAGTAATGAAACAAATTGTTTGTAGGTGAGGGAAGGTAGGCAGAAAGGCAAGGTTACTTATGTCTTACGCCCACTATTTTCTCCGTGAAATAGAAGATGGTCTGCTGAGACCAAAAGGTGGTAGGTTTAACAGATGGAATACCACATATTCAAAGAACTGTGATGCAGTGGTTGTAAAGACAGAAAAACTGTAAGAAAGAAATTAGAGATGGCTAGATACAGTGGCTCATGCCTGTAATTCTAGCACTTTGGGAGGTCGAGGTGGGTGGATCACTTGAGGTCAGGAGTTTGAGACCAGCCTGGTCAACATTGTGAGACCCCATCTCTACAAAAAATCACAAAAATTAGCAGGGTGTGGTGGTGGGTGCCTGTTATCCCAGCTACCCAGGAAGCTGAGGCAGTAGAATTGCTTGAACCAGGGAGGCAGAGGTTGCAGTGAGCCAAGATCATGCCACTGCACTCCAGCCTGGGCAACAGAGGGAGACTCTGTCTCCCCCTCCAAAAAAAAAAGAAAGAAAGAAAGAAAGAAACTAGAGAAAAAAATTTTAATTATCCATTCATACTAAGAGAAAATTCTCATTACTAGTGAGCCAGGAGAATAATTCCAAACAGACAGGAATCTATATTCATACAATGTCTGTAATCTTTTGTCAATTTTCTTTCCCTATGGTTGGTTTCTTTTGTATGTTTCAGTGGTCTATTCCATGTGCTATTTAGTTCCAGAGAGTTATATCTTAGGGTAGATTGTACCGTTCAGCATTACAAAGTTTTCTACTCCTATGTAATATTTTTTTTTCTTCAACTCTGTTGGGTCATAATATTGTACCCCTTTCTACCTCCTATTTACATTTCCCTGGAATATCACTGCCCATCTTTTTCATTTAAGTTTTAGACAATTTTAGGTTTTGTTTTTTTAACCCAATCTGAGATTTTAGTAGATGAGAATACCCAAGTCACATGGGGTTTAACAGCTATTCTGTCTTGTCATTCATCTTATTTAATCTTTATATTTTTTATGCTTCCTTCCTATTTTCTCTCTTTTGCTACAGGAAAAAAAAATTGGGTTTTCTTTTTTATGGCTTTTGAGCTGGCAATTTGGACCATATACAGCTTGCTCTCATTTTACCAGTGACAATACATGTGTCTCTGAATAAAATGTTTAAATGTACTCCTATCAACTTCAAAAATAAATATCCAATGAATTCTGACTGACTTATTCAGCTCTCTTTTTCAGCCACAGCAATTATCTGTTCTTCTGTTCTCCACAGTTTAGATCAGCTTCTCTTAGTCTTATTTCTTATCCCTTGTTTCTGCATTCCGTATGATTTTGAAATCTTGACTCTACGGTTTTTTCCCTCTTTCTGCAGTGTCAATTCTGCTTACTGCAGCCACTATGCATTTTTAGCTTTTTATATCATTGGTCTATCCTCAAAATTCTCGCCTCAACAGTTTCTTTTAATCACATCTTCTTGTCTTATCCTATCTCATAGAGCTCTTCCTCACTCAACTGATTTTTAAATGTTCTTGACAGTGTGAAGTAGCTGTGGTAAAATAATTCTTCCATTTTGTTAGGTAAATATCCCTTTGTATTTTCTTCAGCTGTCTCTTCCACACTGTTCCTTTTGCTCCTACAACGGTTTAGCATCTTCTCAAGCAAAAGAGTTGATTATTGAAGAATTGGTTTTTCACTTGATTTAAAATTGCATCTGTCTATAGTCTCCAGAGTTTGTGACATAAGGTGGCGGCTTTCCTACTTTTAACATGATTGAGGTTTAAACATATATATAAACATTTTCACTGTTGTTCATTTAGAAAGGGTTTAAAAAATTGCCCTAATTTGCTATTTTTCATAAAAAGTCTTTAAGATCTTTTTCAAAGACATTTCTACATATTGCTTAAGAGTATGACATTCTGGAAATTTGTAACATTAAATTTACAAAGTTATCACAGCATCAGTATCTGGATATTGAATATGTTTATTAAATGTCCAGAATTATTTCAGCAATGAATTCACACAAAAATATTTACATTCAAAGGAGTCCATTATTCATTGGTATAATCCATTAAACAAGGTGAGGTTAAGAGTGTGAAAAAAACAGATCTTTACCTAAAAACACCAAGAATTCTTGAAGGGAATTTGCTTTGCCACTGTTAAGAACAATTTGCAGCCAGGTGCAGTGGCTCACACCTGTAATCCCAGCACTTCGGGAGGCCAAGGAGATCACGAGTTCAGGAGTTTGAGACCGGCCTGGCCAACACAGTGAAACCTTGTCTCTAATAAAAATACAAAAATTAGCCAGGTGAGCTGGTGGGCACTTGTAATCCCAGCTCCTTGGGAGGCTGAGGCAGGAGAATCGCTTGAACCCGGGAAGTGGAGGTTGCAGTGAGCCGAGAGAGCGCCACTGCACACTCCAGCCTGGGTGACAGAGTGAGACTCTGTCTCAAAAAATTAAAAATAAAAATAAATAAAAATTTAAAAAAGAAAAAAGAAAAGAAGAGAAAGCAGGCAGGGTCCAATGGATGTCTATCAACTAAAAGTTATCCATGCAGGTTCAATCAGAATGTGTCCATTAAGACAAAATGGTATTCCAGCTGTCCTGCCTGTATGCTCAGGATCTCAGGAGGAGGAACATCTGATAGGATTACTTTGAGTCAGGTGTCCCAGATTTATTCCGGACTATAGCCAGATCTTCTCAACTATAACCAACGAAAAAGAACTAATTCCTCCTGGGGAAATCGGGATGCTACTATGAAGGGGAAATGGATACTATGTTAAGTAAATAAGGAAATCCACTTATTTAAACAAAATT